ACTTGTAAACAAGCAATGGTGTTTCTAGGTATGGTTGAGTCGTTAGGCGCGTTGGAAAAGGCTTGTGTACAGCGTGCTGAGGGCCGTTGAATTTACATGCACTGTTAAGGCTTGAATAAAGGTTAGTTGGATGAGGTTATGTTGTTATATTGTAAACGTAATAACGAAACATTTTTTCTTTGAGAGAATTTTTTCTCTGCTTGACAACTACTGAAAAATTGATTTTTCTTTTTTCTGGTTTCACATTTTCTTGAGGTTTTCGGTGTCCAAAGTTTGTTTTTCAAGTATTATACTATGTTACAGGAAAATTAAAAAGTGATTGTGTATAGGTAGGTAGAACATGAAAGGACGAGAGGTTAATTAACTTGAGAGATCTTTCTGGTGCGTTGACTCACTGAAGCTGTATTTTTTAATATTTCTAGCGTACTTGTAAGAAAGTAAATTTTATACAATTTTTGTTATTATTCTTACAACAATTTTTAGTAATTTTTTGTTAGTAATTAATATTTATTGCACGTGAGCGTAATCTTATCTATTCTTATTATAACGATAACGCAATTGAAGTTTAAGTTGCAATTTTTTTTCACAATCGAACCAAAGATTATTAAAACGTTAATCCTCCTCACAAATTTGATCAACCAGAACTTGTAACGAATTACTATACTCTACGTATACGTGAACTTAGAATATAGCGTTATCTTCAACAGTGCAAAGAATTTTAATACGAAACGTTGTGAAGTGGATGCTGTGGATGCCAAGTCGTTAGACGCCGTACCGTTAATTAGTCAGTGAGTAGATCGATACCAATTACCATGTATTCCTTGAAATATACTGGAACCGATTCGTTCGATTTTGAAACAAGATCATTTCACGCACTGACCAACCCTTTTGCGCGTTCATTGCACCAGCGTTGCGTTCCGAGAATGCAGCTGGCAACTTCTTTGCACGTTTCAACGTGCAGTTCGCGTGGAAACGGAAATAAGGATTCTAGAACTGGCCAAAAGAAGTCTGTGGAATCTTCTGAGTAGAAATTGTGGTAAACGGAGATGAAAGAAAGAGTTAGGTTAGGTTGGATCAGGTTAGTTTGGCAGTGATCATTATGGAACATTATCACTGTTTTTCTAAAAATTTTACTTCCATACAAGTGTTCAGATTTTCTTAAACACTCCGTATATAGTATACATTAAGTAAAAACAATTATACAATATATGTTTATGAATTATGTTCTTGTTGTAAATAATAAAATATAACTGACTATACATGACTCCTTCCATGATCGTACTGAGTGTTCCAAAGACATAGGTGTGAACAGTAAGAAAAAAAAAAAACGAAAAAAGTTTCAGGCGACGTTATCAAAAAATTAATCGTTTCAGATATACTGAATTTTTAATGGTTAAAACGCAGACATTGTCTAATGTTATGTATAGTTTAATGATGATTCACTTGATTCGTCATCATCGCAAGTGTCACCCGCCTCTAGACGCCATCATTTATGTAACGTACAAGAAGCACGTTAACGACCAATAACTGCCAAACGAGTAGTAGTACGTCAATGGCTGTCGCGTGTGCATCATCGATGCATCGAACTCTCGTTCAATCGTAATGTACATAGTAACTCTCGTGAATCGATTTCGTTCGCAATTCTGTCTCTTACAGCCTTTTCTCCCCGAACGTAGCTTCCCACACTTTCACCAATGAGTATTTGTTAGAAAATGTTCATTCTATTACGTACAGAATATTCAGTCCAATACAGAATTAGGTTATGTTACAAATGAAAAATCTGTTTATTTCTACACACGTGTTCATCAAGACTTTCGTTTCTTTCGATAAATTCTAGCCACGTGTACAGTTCGTATCTATGTTTTTGAAAAACTTTGTGTAATTCTTTGACATTGTGGCACCAACTCGACGCTGGATTCGCGGTCGAAATCAGCGAGACGACACGTTGGTCGCAGCTCGTACAAACATCCCCAGCTGACATACGCGCGAACACGTGCGTCTCGTTCTTTCCTCGGCTGCACGCGGCGGTGCCGCTTCTTCCATTTCTTCGTTGTCCTGCGTTCTTCTTTCGGCGCGAACTTCTGCCGGTCAGTATCGTTCGAAACAGCCGTCGCGAAACAGCTAGACGATTCAATGACCCGCAAACGTCCGCGACCTCTAAAAATCCTGTAGAAATGTCCGTTTTTACTTTCTAACGAGCTTACATATATACGTAATAGTAGAATTTTGAGTGCAAAGTTTGAAGATTCGCGAATTGAAAGTCTGCCAGAAATTGTTTGTTTACGTGTGAATATACATATATGTAATGGGATAATTTTGAAGTGTAAAATTAAAATCCATTGTTGCTGGTGAATGTGGTTTGGTGTTGGGGGAATGTTGAGTGAAAATTTTCGAGGGTGACAAGTCGCGTAATATTGCATCGCGGACGTTGATTAATTAGCGCGCGGGTGATTCGAGTCGGTACGTATGTGAATTGAAGTGTAAAGTGACGTTGGTTTTTTCTCAGATTTTTAATTTGTGACTTTCTTGAGAAGACAGACTAATAAATAACGAGCGATGAAATAGTTCGGTTCTCTTAGTAAAATGATGATTCAGCTCTTTCTATTTTTTGGTCTATTCATGTGCTGTTTGCGCAAAGTTGAATAATGAGGAGCGTTAATTTGTCTTCTTCAATTCTTTCTCTATTGACATTCTTGATGAATTTAGTTCTTTGGTCTTCCAATTTCCAAAAATCAGAAATTCTCACCAACTGTTTGCCGCAAAAACAAACTCACCATTTACTGTACTTTAAAATCTTAAACAATTCTTACCACAATATGTACTCTCATTCAGTTTACACCATTATCGACCGAAGAGAAACGCTCTTGTTTCCTCCAAAAGTCATCCAAGACACAAACCCACTCGGGGCACGTACATCATGTAGAATCGCCGTCTCAGTCGCGGCTTGAATATTAAGAATCATCGAACAATTATTAAAGAAGGCGGTCGGTCTTGTCAAGACTCGACTAAGGGGGGGAGGAGAAGAAGAAAAAGAGTGAAACAAAGAAGGAATAAAAAGCTCGTAGCTGGAACGACATTTCCTATGTACATACGTGTCTGAAATACACGAGGTGGATCACGACGCAACCGGTCCGTAGGCGACATTGTTTCGCGTCCTCTGCACTCCGTCCCGTGCCCCTCTGAATTTCGATCGTGCTCGAAATCGCGAGCGGGTTCGCCCGATCGCGTGCCACGCCACTGATTTCAACCATCTGCCCGCTTTTAATACCGTGTAACGTCTTCAAAGGGAACACCTGACAGTCTTTTTTAATTTTTCGAGTAATTTAATCAGAACGAGACAATTTTGGCTTTTTTATGGTTGGGTGGAGATGGAGAAGTAGGATCGGTTCTATCTAATTCCATCAGAAACAGACAGCGTGTATTTGCTTTGCAGCTGGTCAAGTACAGTCACGATTACAGATACAATTTTATTGCATATCATAAGAAACGTGAGCGATTTTCTCTTGTATATCACAAAGACGCAAATTTGCTCAGTTAATCGCAAGGGACGATAACGTAACGTGACGTATTTGAATACTGACCGGTTCGGCAGTTGTTAACGCTTTTATTTTTATCAGAAGTGGGGGGTCTTGCGCTTCAGTGCGACGGATTCCGAGCGAGTCCTATCGGGCGTGATCGGAAACAATCGGTGACTGTCGGGAACACGCGTCGACAACATTTTGTGTCAGTACACGTTCATTTCTATTTTTTTTTTTACTTAAAAGGTGAAAATTGATGGACATATTTCGAGAAATTAGGAGTTTTCGCTATATCGGCCATATTTACGCTCTATAATTCAAGCATAGGTGATTGTTTCACATTTCAGAAATGATTTTATACTGTTTTTATAAGAAAAGTTTGTACAGTTTAAGTGTACCGCTGGAAATGATGACAAGTTTTTATATTCTTCTATTGTTTTCGAAATTGTTGTAGTGTGTTGGGAAGATGTATGTGCACGTGTATAGCTGTTCAAGACAGTTTCTAGGCATTCCGAGAGACGGTCATCTATTAGAAACTTTGTACAATATATTCACTTCAAACCAACATTACGAATCCTTGTAGACACTTTCTGTACATAAATTCACTAGTCTCTCGACGTGTGGAGTGGTACTGTAGTTACAAAATTTCCGCACAGTGATGTCGTCAGATCAATGGGGGCAAACTCGTTTCACAGTAAAGCATGTGGATGAAACTTGGTCTTCTCGAAATTCTCTAAGTGATATTAAGTAGATCACGAACACCATTATTTGTCATAAATATCATGTGACTAATTCTTGTAATTGTCTGTATATATCAGTAGAATATTTTTGAATAGAATATTTCATTAGCTCTTGGACAATTCTATCTGTCTCATAGTAATAAAATCAAATTTTTTCCTATTATTGCAATTAATAAAACCACGGCAAAATTTAAAAAAAAATTGAAACTCAAGGAAACAATTTCAGACAGAAACATACTCGTATAAATCTAAAAGACAGACAGCAAAACAACACATTTTCTACTGCGAAGTAAAGTGAATGAAATTCGAGGTACCAGAGAAGACAAGAATTTTGAAATTCTGGAAAATCCCAACCGAAGTACACCATTGCATCTACGTGAAGTTTGCAACACAGGCACGCCGCCATCTTCACAGTTATTAGGATTCAAGAAGGATCCGCTCAGATATTCTTCCGTGGAAGCACACAGAAGATAAAAAGAACGGTTTCTCAAAATTCCAGCAGACACTCACGAATCCGGTCGCGGTGACGTGTTAAGGAACCCGGAATTGGTTGCAATTCGTAACTGGTCGCGCGAACATTCCCCTCGAACGCGAGGCACACTCGCGCTACGTTCACGGTGTTCGTCGACCCGCGAATCCTCGATAGCTTTCTCAAGCGCGCGAAGGAACTCCCTTGTCACGCTCGAAAGTCCTCGAAAGAAGCGTTCCAGTTTTTCCTGAATATAAATATCAAATAGTTGAGATGTCCAACTGCTGCAGCTGTATCCGTGGATGTACCACGGACACTTATCAACCTCTGAGTTCACAAAGATTCTCTGGTAGTAAGGGGAAGGTCTACAGAGATGGAAGAGAGATACTGAAGAGCCCTAGGAATCAGAGAAGAAAGCTGAGCGTGCGCTACGACGCTGTTAGACCCGCTGGTGGCGCAAGGTTAGAATATCTCGCGAGAGGAGGGTTGTTTAGAAAGTTGGAATTTGTGTGTAAACCGTATGTGAGTTTTGTGTGAATCTTCTGTTTCTTAAATGGAAATCGAAACCTAACCTAACCTAACTTTGCGCGAGCTATCTATTATTCTTTCAGTTTTTTAAATCTTTAAACCTTTCTTTTTCATAAGGTATTTTTTATTTGTATCGTTCGAACAATTTTTAAAGAATTTAAACCGTCAAACATACTACCAGTCCAACTGACGTAAGTAAATTGTAACCGTTCACCTCACCTTGTAGTAAAGTAAACAGAAGATCAGTGTCATACGATACGTAATATAATACTCTTGTGTAAAAACCGTTGGAAGCCTGGACTGCTATGTTGTGTTGAGATTCGGTTAGATATTTTTCTTCTACTCTGCAGAAAGTACAATCAACACGCTTTAAATAAAGTCAGACGTATTTAGTGAAAGTAGAATGTGTATTAGAATAACAATAACGATAAATACAGCAGATAAGATAATTATAGTTATCCTTTATAAAAGATCACCTTATTCCTAGCTGGTTCTCTAGATTGGTTGTCGATTCTTAGGACTTGACATGCTTGAATTTGTTTCAATATTATACGCAACTTTCGTAATGGAAAAAAATTGAAGGTGACCCTGAGACCATGAAATGTATAACAGATAAATAAAAAGCAGTGCACTATGTTCGTATATAACGAATTTTGTCGATGTGGTTCCGTGTTACATGTATCATCTTACATATGTAATGTACCTTGTGAATTTTTTGAACATTTTTTTGTGCGCTGTTCAGATATTTAGGAAGTTTTCAGGTACGTAAACACAGAGAATGTGTTCGGAATGGTAATGATGTCTGGTTTAGGTTAGCTTGGAATAGTAATGGCGATTTTACTGTCAGGTTCGGCGTGAAAGATTGCTGCTCAACCTTGAATGTATTCATTCTGATTAACAAGAAAATTTATTTTTATTTCTAGAACGATAAGGAATTCGGTGTCGAATTGTTCTTGGTTGACTGTTAGGTTATTTTGAATAGAATTGAACGGGTAAAATCAGGTGTGAAAAAATGGGAAATAATACCATCTTCGTAATTTATTGTAAATATTGTTTGCTTTTCAAATGCCATTTAATAAATATTTTCCACGGTAAAGATATTAATTAATATTATTGACATTGAAACATTATGGTATTGCATTAATTGATATCGATATTAATATTGAATGATGTGAAATGATACGGTGTAATGATATCTCAAGTACACCCTAACGATTTAACTTGTTTTTTTGTTACAGGTGAGTGATCACTGCTCTCTATAGTTCGAATCCTGTCGATCAATAAACAAGGTAAATATATACTAAATATTTCAGTTTATAACCTTTTAAATTATAAAAATATTCAATAAAAAGATCTATAAAGAAAATCAAATTAAATTTAAATTAACCAACAAATTAAATTTAAATTTATCCTTTTCAAAACTCCGTCAAACCACTCAACTTAGTTTACCAACGAAGTGTATTAAAATTAATCTACATGGAATCACAAACGCGGACACAAATATAACTGACTATGTACTACATTCCACGGAAACCAAAATTCAAGGGCAAAATTAAATATAAAACAAAAAAATCGTTGTTCTATTTCACGAGTTGCTGCATCTCCTCTTCTAAATTGGCAATTTTTCAAAATTACCACATGAAACCCCCACAGCCTCGACGACCATTCATCGAGAACAGCGCAGGGTTAGTTTAGCATATATGTACATACTCTGTATACTATAGTATATACTCGTAAGCTTGAAGGGTGCGCGAAGGGTTGCAGTCACGTGACCGTTGAGTAGAAGAAGGGGTAGTCTCGTGATTTTTCCACAATCGTGCGGAAGTGGCCCGTCAGTTCCGCAGGAACTCTCGCGCGGTTTAGACGTTCTGTGGTTTCTATCTCCTTTCTCTCTCTCTCTCTCTCTCTCTCTCTCTCTCTTCTCTCTCTCTCTCTCTTTCTATTACCGTTTCTACGATTCTTGCGCCGTGCGTGACCAGCGGTGATCTCGTGCGCGCCAGTCGTTCCACATCGTTCGTTTCCTACGTTTATCGGTGCACTTTATCGTCCTTAAATAGTCCGCATCCTACTTTTTTTCTTTTTTTTTTTTTTGCTTCTCATTGAGGTGTTTCCTGTACTTATTTCGAATTCACTCGTATTGTTTCTGTGCACGATTTTCCTACGATATCCTTGATATAACTTTTCCAAGTATTTTTTTTTAACCGTGGTATTGTAGGTTTTATTCATTTTTTTTTTTTTGTACTTTTTAACGTGGTGTTTTTGTACATACTATTTATTTTATTATACATTCTTACGTGTTTTGTTTTCGTCTTATTCATTTTCTGCTTTTTACGATTTGCCCTTTCCCTATGATTCCCTTATGTGATTTTTATCTAATGCCTCTTGCATAACGTGTGACACAGTGCAAAATTTTCAATCTGTTTCTCTTAATTCTAGTATCAAAATTTTACCTCTAAACGACACGAAAAATCGAGTAATGGGAGTACAATTAGTGTTCATTTTTCTACTTATCGAGTGACAATTTACGTATTTTAAAAAATAATTCGTCGATCCTGTGTTTGCATCATGCTGATAATTTTAACAATTTTCAACAATTTCGTGATTTCATCGTAAATTTTCTTATTGTCTGTGATGTTTTTCGATACTTGTGAAACCAAAAAATGAATTACGTGAAATGGAAACGATTCTCGAAGGTATAACGCACTTATATTGTCTTCATCCCTCAAATTCAACGTTCAACGTGGTTTTTAGAATTCACTCGAGTGGCCAGTAGAAATTCAAACGTTCCACAACGAAACGAGTCGTTAAACGACACATTAGATCCAACATGGAAATTGATGTTGTGTTTCCGTCCATTGAGACCATCGGCGGGATTGAAAGCATGCTATTTGATATTTCATGTTGACGTTGGTCGATCGTAATCGACGAGATGTATAGTGCAAAAAGCATGGGGAAAAGTGGCGTCGCAAAAAGTCGCACTGTATATGAGGCAACTAATCATTTAACCGTATTTCTTCTTACGAAGCTTCAGTATTTTCACACTTAGAACGACTGTCGGTAATTTCTCTTTGAAAAAAAGAAAAGAAAAATTTATAGAAAAGGTAACTTCTATTTTAAAATTAAATTAAAAATTTTTAAAGGTAATACTTTTTCTTTTTTTTTTTTTTTTTTTAAGAAAGGTGCATCTTACGATTAATCGTGCATTTTTAATAGAATGTTATTTTCAGTTGAATTTAGTACTCATTTTCATCTTTTTCATCCAGAAGTTAATCACGGAAATTTTTACGACATTTTGAGAATGTAGAATTTTTATTTTTCGTTTCCATTGTTTCAAAGCCTCGAATCATTGAAATTTCATTGATAGATCTGAGGATAAGGGAAATTTAAAGTTGATAAAGTGAGATAAATTAAGTCTCGTTTACAATTGTGAAAATAATAAAACGAAAATTATGACGTTGGGATAACTCAGAGTTAATGGAAATTAGATTTTTCTTAATATATTCATTCTGCCTGACGTGATCTCTATGCTTTGTTTCTTCGTTCCTCAAGTCCGTTTACAAGTGCACTCGTGTCTCTAAATTGGGTCTAAGGAGTCTCTGTTGCTAAACGCGTTAGCCGAATTCCACGCGTCCAATCGAACCCCTGACCAGTCTCGTTAACGCATTTGAACGCGTTGCAAGGTAAACCTACCAATTGGAATTATTCTGTGTATCCCTTCAGCAGAAAATTACAATTCTGATCAAATTTATCATTTCCTTCAAATGCATTCAACAACGTAGATTAAAGTGGATCATCCTGTATATTACCGTTTCGTTAAAAAAGAATCTAGTGGATTATTCGTTGGTGGTGTACCTAATTGTAATTTATATTTTTACGAGAAGTCTCATTCAGGACTCACAAAAATCGCATTTCCAATTCCCCGTTTCGATTTCACGTTCTCCTCTTCGACCGTAGCCTGCGATCCTTTATTTCCGATCGAATTCACAGCCACTGTCTTTCACTAGGGAACTTTATTAAAATCCCTAGTGGCGTGGATGGGACCGATGGACGTTCCATTAACAGCGACGAACGCGCGAAATACAGGAGCTTCCAGCGGGAATCGAACCTTTTCCCTTGGAAAAATCGCGCTTTTAACGTTGCGACCCGTGCCTTGCGCGTGTTTCACTTCTCTCTCTCTCTCTCTCTCTCTCTCTCTCTCTCGCTTTAACTCCGTTGACTCTCGCCTTCGTCGTGCAAATAACGCGTCCGAGCATTCGCAGCGGAATAAATGAAATTGCTGTCGCGTGTAACCTGTCGCCAGCGGGACGAAAGTACTCTGATTAATGCCGTAGCAATGTGCAACTATGGTGTTCAGGACGCCAATGCGATTTTCATTAGGGTTACCGTTATTATCTGCGAGGTGGAGTCACCGTCGTAAGTGTACGGTTCAATTGGATGGATTTTATTTTTATTTTTATTTCAGTAGCGTGTTGAACACTGACATAAGAGTTACTTTTTTGTGTAATCGCTTTTGTTATGTTTAGTGTGTGGAGTACTACTATGTACTTTATCGAAAAGATTAGATTTAATAACTGTTACATTTACATTTATTCACCGCAATGTACAGTTGGTGGAACAGATATCATGAGGTGGTGAATTAAAGCATTAAGTAGCGACATCTTAGAACGACTTTCAAGATGACTTTAAGAGGACTTTCTTTTTAATCAGTTTTTTGTTATTTATCACGTGCACATTCTCAAACTATACAACCTTGTTTTAGTCATTTCTACTTAGTGTTAATTGCAGGGAAAGTAATTTCGGTATTCATTACAAGTGAAGTGTATTGTCTATGTTAATTCATTTTCCTTACACACAGTGCTACATATGAATTCATTAGTAGGTTACACTAACTCTTTAAGAGTTAAGATATGTAAATAACATAACAACTTTTTTG